AATAAAGAGATCCTTGCATGCGCCGGCGAATCGCCAATCAACATCATCGTCAACGGCGACGACGACCATAACCGCAGCCATCACAAATGCCATTAGAGAGGCGAGTGGGTTTTCCTCCGCAGCAGGGACTCGCCGCCCACTCACCGCCCACCGCCCACTGCCCACTCCAGTCGACAACAACAACAAGGGGGTCCTGGTGGCATTAGGAACCACCAACAAAGCCCTCTCGGAAAAATCCAGAACGGCAGCTCAACTAACGCATCGTAAATTGAGATTTCTATTTATTGTCGGCGACCGCAGAGCACAGTAAGAAAATATTGGTATACAAATATAAGAAACTAAAGAAAAAAATATTTTTATAGGAATGTATTTACGAGAAGATTATATTAAATGATCAGAACTACCAGTAAATGTGTAATTTTAAGAACTTGGAAATAAAGGAACAATTTTGATGGGCAACATGTGTAGCAATTTACAATGTTTCTTTTATGTGTTATGGTACATTTCAATTTGTTTTCTCTGCATTAGTAGCAGCCCATCAAGTGTGCGCCATATATATCTGCGAGTTAAGTTCAGTTCAGTTGGGTTTGGTTTAGTTTTATGCAGTCCAGTCACCCACATACCATTCCACCTCCACATTCCCCCCCAAATGTCACCAAGTTGACGCGGTCTGCCGACTTTATAAAGTCGCTTAAGCATTTTTAATGGACTTTTAAGTTTGCTTTTATTGTTTCATTCGCATTGCTTTTATGTGGCCACACTTCATAGTCGCGGATACATTTATATGGACTTGCTAAAATCGTAACACTAGAATAATGTGATTCAGCAGAAATGAAGAAATATATTAAGATTTTTTTAAGTATGAACAAACAAAGGCAAAAATAAAACTAAACATTTCAGTAAAAACGCCCTTACTTCAGGTCTACAATCTTAACATTAATAAATATTTTTGAGTTCCAAAGTAAGTATGCTATATCATTTAATTCCTTGCTAAGTCAAAACTATAGTATTATTCTTTCTTTCCATGTGACTTTCCCCTAAATTGAGTTATTTATATACCTCTGACAAGCTAATATTGAATTGAACTAAGTGATTTCCGCCCACTGGGCGACTCAACTGAACTGTGATCAAGTTAATAAGTATTTGCATTCCAATCAGCTGAATTTCCGTAATCAGAAGTAAATAAACTCTGCTCAGAGAATGGATAAAGTCCCTCTGCCATTTTCCTCGGGCGATGAGAGCAGGGCAAATACAATTAACAATAGTTGTGCGATTGTTTCGCCGCCAAAATTCGCCCTATTCTATTAATACACATTTGATCTACTTATTTCAATCAATGCTCTGTCAACTACTTTTCGGGTATTCCCCCGCCGTTTCCCGGGCCTGCTAAACAAACTGTCAATCATAGGGAAAATCCCCCGGGGGAAAAGTCCTGAAAGCGGCGGCTTTATTATGGAAATTAAATTGATATTTAAGTGACACATTGCGGCGGCGGCAGGGTGAGCAAGATAAATTCGGCTGGCGGCAAATTGTTGGCCCATACGGCCATTGTTAAGATGAAATTAAATTTTTATGGGCTCAAACTGGGCTTAGTTGTTGTACTTTTGTTGGTACTTTCGCCCCGAGCCCAGAAATATGTGTGTATGTGGTCAGCTTATGGTTTCGGCCTGGCATTTTGGTATTTTGACCTTTCGGCTGTGAGGTTTAATTAATATGCAAATGGACAAAGAGCAGGCAAGGAGTTGGGCCGTTGGTCTGGTCAGCAATTTAAATTTAGTTCCCCCATCTTTAATGAACTCCGAAAGTTGTGTTTCTGAAATATTTATTGGACCGCAACTTGGTCCACATGCTGCTGGAATTACCCACTTTTCGGGGCCTCGGGCAGCCCTGCATATTCATAGGGGCTTCTGGTTTCTGGCCGCCATTTGCAATTCGAATGCAGTGCACTTCCGGTTTTCGGAAATGCATTTCCGCTTCCGCCGGCCATCTGCACCCCTCCACCAATGCACTTGCCACAGCAACGGTTTGCTGCACATCAATTTGATATTTGACAGAGGCGCTCACAACTAATGCACTTACTGGCCATTCAACCAATTTGGTTACACGATTTTGCGACTCTGATGCAATTTATTGCACGCCCCCACTGGCCGACCACTTGTGAAATTGATTTGATTTTTATTAGCATTTTATGCGATTTGCCCAAGTGTCCGTGGAGCGAGAGAGTTTGCCCGGGGAATTAAATTAAACACGTTCAGGTCGGTCGGCCAGCAGAAAATGTCCGGTGTACGAAAAACCCACCCACACACACACACTTTGTGGGGCCAGGTGAACCAGGTGGACCATCCATTTCTCATTGTTTGCCCGCAGCCGGTTTTCCTCGCTTTCCTTTCTCCTGTGGCCACGCCCCCATGCACACACAGAAGCCCACGCCCACCATCAAATACACTGAGAGAAGCCCAACTAAATGGGTTTTTTCTGGAGAACGAGTTACAAATTATCTGATAATAGAGAATCCTAATTATAACTTTATTGAAGTGTTGGAAAAAATATAAAGCAGAAAATCGATGATGGTTCAAGGCTTACAAGTTGATGCATGCCTTGCACATCATATAAAATGTGATAAATCCTTTTAAAATGTAAATTTTCATCCACTTCACATTAGCATAATCGAATTTCAATTGTGAATTACTATTAAAAACTGAGGTTAATAGAATAAATTAAAGAGGATTTTTAAAGCAGTGATTGATAATTAAATTAAGAGTTGATGGAGTATTTTTCTCGATGCTCTCAGGACAATAAAGAGTTAAAACACGGCTGACTCGCAGTCGAATGCGTGTTTGCCGTATCGAATTTCACACTTTTCCGCTCGCCCACTTGCTCCCTTTCTTTTCCCCCCAAATAGTGTTTCCTTGGGCGGGAAAGTGGGAGGAGCGGGAAAGGGAACAATGGGAAAACCGGAAAATTCAGCGGGCAACAAAAAGAGGCAATCAATGAAGCGCTTTTTGCTGCTGCACTCGTCACCTGCCAGTGCGACTGCAACTGCAAATCCATCGTCATCTGCCCGAATTGTGTATTGCATTTTTGCTGCTGCTCTTAATGCGTTTTCCCGCTTTTTCCCAGCAGTACATCATATTTCACATCGGATACGGTTGATGTTGCCTTTTTGTTAATGACTGCAACAGAATGATATCGTCAGCAATTCAGCGGATGTCAGGGGGCACTAATTTTGGATCCCTAGGATGAGCAGGACAAATACAAGTAGACCCTTTCTGAGTTTTATAGTACTTATAGTGCTTAACTTCAATTTACAACATAGAGGTATTTAAAGAAATGTACTCTTTCCACTCTAAAAACTGAATAAATGATAACTTCTCGAGCAGAGCCCCGTCAATTAAATGGTAACTCGAGCCTGTGCCAATGGTAGCTGAAACGGAGCACTAGTTTCCAATTCAAAGCCTCTTAATTGGACGTAATTATGGCTTGACCTGCCTGCCTTGTCAGATGCGAGCTGCATTCGACCCCAGTGTCCATCCAAAACTAACATCCAGCCCAGTTTCCGCTGACCGCAATGGGAGGTCCTTGCTGCCAGGACCAGCTTTTTGGCCTGGATGTGTCAGATCAGCGGGAGGTGCGGGGGATGCCTGGTACTCGCAGGAACCCCCTTTAAAGCGTGTGAGCCGACCAAGTTTTGAGTACATAATAAATATTTATTAGACCCGCTGCTGCTGGCCAACATTTAATTTGTTTTCATTAAGCCAGACAAAGCGCTTAAGACGGCTACAAATATACAGTTGAGCTTCCTCAAGTGCAATTGGGGTTTAACTCGTAAAAATTAAAAGGCAATTGCTTTAAGACTTTAAGGCTTTGGACCATTTAATGACAGAAAACAGACATCTCAAAGGTCAGCTGGAAAAGTAACTAGCTTAATGGAATTCAGGGAAAATATTTTTAAAAGTGTGGACTGTACCTATAATAAATTTCTTGCCATCATGTCCTTACACTTCCTAGTAATCGAAAGGCTACTTTAATACTATTTAATAAATCCAATTTATTAATAGGTTCAAGCTAGGAAGTCTTGACTGTCATGCCTAACTCCCTCCAGGGAGTTCCTCACTGGAAAAATATGCTTGAAATTAAAAAGGGTATTCTCTCTGGGGTCCTCAATGTCAACGTCGTCGCCTTGACGTGGCCAAAAACATTTCGCTGGCTTAATTGTGCGCAAGCCAAGCAGATAAAAAACGAAATGAAAAAGTTTGGGGCCCAGCGACCAAAAAAAGGAGGAAATATGGAAAAACGCGAAAACGCGAGACAAAGGCGCTCCAAGCGAGGAGAAAAGCGCGTTCAACGCCGAAATCGGTGGGGGGTTTCCCAATTTTCCCAGTTTTTCGGGCGGTGGCGATGGCGATGGCGAAGTAACATAACAAAACAAAATTAAAGTAAATATGCGCCCGGATCCACAGACAAAGTAGAAGGGCAAACAAAGCCGAGGTCCTGACAAGGGGTCGAGCGAGGATGGCAAGGATGTCAGTAAACAAAATCACAATTAACTGAGAATGACGAAAAATAACAGCGGCAAAGGAGCAGCGAGCATGTGACAATGGAGCCGCTTTAAAGTGGTAAAAATAAAGGGGTTCGCCCAAGGACGAAGGACCTGTCATAAAGCATTTTAATTGCGCACCCACATCGCCTGGGTTTGATTGGAAGCGCTGAAGTCTATTCAAATGGGACCCAAGGACAAAATGGAATATTTAATGATTGGAAAAGGGTTTTCGGGTCTTAAACACGCAGATTATGGTGACAATGACATGGGAAAGGATCTCCATTGAGTCGATGTTGGGTCCTCATTATCCTTGTTGTAAGTAATCCGCATATCATTAAATTTGATTGCTTTTCAAACTTAATTAAACGGTGAAATTATTATTAAGCATAATGAAATTAATGTAAAATTTGATTAAAGAAATCATATTTAATCTTAGGAACACATGAACAATATTAGTTATGTTAATGACTACAATTTATTTAAACGTGAAACTGATTCGGCAGCCCAGGAACATCAGAAAACAAAAATATTTTAATCAGGGATTTTTGATTTCTAAATATTATAGTGACGATGGCAACGGCGTACTGCATCCTGGAACTCCTTGCAGACATTGAGATCGTCATTCTCTCGGTGCACTTCAGGAACTGCTTCATCTCCTTGGCACAAGGACCCTCCTCGACCAAATCGCTGTGGTGCGGCTGCTGGCCACGCCCCCTGAACAGTCCGGTTATCCCTGCGCCTATAGCATGACCCACAGCTGACCCCGCTGCCACACCCGCCGCGTGGGCGGCCACGTCCTTGAAGATCATCTCCGAACTCCGGGTGTGGGCAGCACCACTGGCAGGTTGCACATGGAGGCTTGGCCGAGGCGCTTCTCTGTCTGCGTGGCATCTTTTTTACTTTTTTTAAAGGCTTCTGTATCTGGCTCAAAAAATTCAGACTTCTGTTCAAAGGGAAAGTGAAATTTGGAATGACAAATGTGAGGATTCTCGGTTGGCTCATAATTCCCAGGCCTGCTCCGGGGATCCTTTTCCCAGCTTTGTTAGCTAATTTATATTGCATTGCCTGCCAGCTAATTGCCAAGTGCATGCAACAGCGCCACCTGGCGATGAACGAACAGAAAAAATATTTCTAATTTGTTTTCCCTTTTTCACTTTTTGCGTTTGCTTTTCCCATTTCCCGCACTAATTACGAACACATAATGAATTTGTCGGCAAACGCGAAAGGTATGAAGGCAAAACAAATACACAACTCCAGCTGGCTGCCCTTTGAAAAATCCCCCAAGGAAGGGGGTTAGTCTGGGGTACCCTTTGAAATACACTGCTAAAAAAGAAACCCTTGTGGATTGATTAGAAATAATGAATTTAAATTGCTCACTGATAATTTTAATAAAAGATATGTTTCATGTTATGATATATGTTAAAATAATTTGTACCCTTCTCATAAATATTTTGTTAAGTGCCTCCCATTTTTTTCAGACATACCCTTGAGTTAAATATGCGAAAGCACTTGATGAACAACCCCGAAAGCCATTAACGAAAAGCAACTTAAATTGTTCACTAGCAAGTGAGACCGCATAGGAAATTACTTTCTCCGAAAAGTGTTTCAAAAAGCAAGTGCAGGTATTTCAGGCAGTCGACAAAGTCGATCCGCTTTCCTTTTAGAAGTGCAGCGGAAATGCTTTAATTGGCTGGGAACACGCCAAAGTTCGGTTGACTATTTCTAGCTTTTTGGAGAGAAAGCGAGAACACAGCGGCAATTAGCCGAACTGCCAAAAGTTGGGCCTAATTCGAATTAGGCAGTGCCCCATATGCAGAATTTTGGCAGCGAGTTCATGTGGCAAACGGAATATTTCATCAATTATGGCCAACCGCAGAAAGGCGAAAAACAGAGAGCCCTGCTGCAAATGCCGCTTGATTGATGCTGTATTTTATGCGGAGAGTGCGAAATTCCCCCTCTTTTCGGGCCATGTTAATCAGCAGTATAGAATTTCCACTCACCCCGCCATGAATATTCAAGCAAATTACATTTGCTCGGCGAAAAATGTGAATAAATGTGACAGCAGCTGATGCCGCCTTTCAGCTGCGGGGAAAAGAAGAGTCTACGCAATGCTAATTTCATTCTGTTTATTGTTTTGGCTACAACTTAATTGGCCCAACTCTCGATTCGACTGGCTCCCAGCAAATGTTTATAAATCAATCAACATCAATAATGTTTCGGCAGGCAAGATGGATGGCCTGAGCCCTGGGATGAGGTTTCGGGATTCGAGTTCTTGTTGATGGCTGCCCGCATAACGCCAATTAATTTGCCTCTGCGAAGTCTGTTTTTGCTCGCTCTCAAGGGGCCTGGTAAATGAGCTTTTGAAGGACACGACTCAATTTGTATATCCTAGATTGATGAAATGCACCAATTTAAGTAGCACATTATTTGATATTTAATTATTTGTTTAAGGTTTTGGTCAAAATACGGATTTTTTAGTGGTTTCTTCGAAAAATATCGAATTTTTCGGGACATTTTCCTTTGTAATTTCCGAAAAAATGAACCTACAGCCATCTGCGCACAGTTTTGAACAGCTGTTAACATTATATAACGATTCTTTTTACAGATTTAGTAAAATAAAAATTTTGGACAAATTTTGATTTTTCATAAGGGGTACCATCCTCTATTTTTTTGCAAAAATGGTCTAAAAATTTTTTTTAGATTTAAATGCCAATCGATAGAAAATTTAATTACGAATTCAGCGAGGTGTATCTTTCCATACTGGGACGAATATAAGCAATTCTGTGGATAAAAAATCCATTTTTTTTGCGAAAAATCAGGACTTGGCTAACATCATTTTTTTGCAAAAATGGGTCCTAAAAAATTTTATTTTAGATTTAAATGCCAATCGATAGGAAATTTAATTACGAATTCCAGCGAGGTGTATCTTTCCATACTGGGACGATATAAGCCAATTCTGTGGTTAAAAAATCGATTATTTTTGCGAAAAAATCAGGACTTTGGCTAACATCATTTTTCGAAAAAATGGGTTAAAAAAATTTTATTTTAGATTTAAATGCCAATCGATAGGAAATTTAATTACGAACTCAGCGAGGGTGTATCTTTCCATACTGGGAAGAATATAAGCAATTCTGTGGTTAAAAATATCTCTGTTATTTTTTGCGGAAAAAATCAGGAGACTATGGCTAACATCTGTATTTTTTTGCAAAAAATGGGTCTAAAAAATTTTATTTTAGATTTAAATGCCAGTCGATAGGAAATTTAATTACCAAGTTCAGCGAAGGTGTATCTTTCCATACTGGGAAGAATAAGCATTCTGTGGTTAAAAATCACGATTTTTTTTTGCGTATAAAATCTGGAACTTGGAGCTAACATCATTTTTTGAAAAAATGGGTTTAAAAAAGATTTTATTTTAAGATTTTAAATTGCCCAATCGATTGTGGAAAATTTATATTAAAATTTTAGCGAGTTTATCATCACTCATACTGGGACAATATAAGCAATTTGTGGTTAAAAAATCGTGTTTTTGGGAAAAATCAGGACTTGGTTTACCAAAAATCTGTTCTGTTAGGAGGCTTGAATTTATCTTTCTTTAGATAAAGTTGATTTTATTTCGAACTAAGTATGAATGTAGCAGGTTAGTCTCATCTATTTGCTTTTTCCGATATTGGCCTCCGGTATTCAGGATCTCAGACATTGTAGCGTCGCGGCACTGCTGCATGGCCTCGTTGAAGTCCTTGCAGATGGAGAGATCGCTGCCGTTCTCCTCGGTGCACCTGAGGAACTGCCTCAGCTCGAAGGCGCGGGACCGTCCTCCACCAGTTGGGTGTGGTGAGCGGAGGGGGAGGCTCAGCTGCGGCGCCCAAGGATCCTCCTGCTGGGGCTGCTCCTTGGCGGGAGCACTGGCCTGCCCGCGTCCTTGGAACATCCCGGTGAGTCCTGCGCCCACGGCGTGACCCACAGCGGATCCTGCCGCCACTCCAGCCGCCGTGGTGGCCATGTCCTTGAACCGCTCCCCTGTGCGGAACCTTGGCCTCCGCCGCAGGAGCTGCCGCTGGTGGGATTCCTTCTTGGGCTGCTGCACCGCCGGCAGATCCCTGCTGCTCCCCCGAGAAGATGGCTTTGTGGCGAAGACATGGCTGCTCCGGCTGTTCTGGCGGCGAGTCGATCCCGAGGATCTCGGACTTTCCGGAGCGCTGACGAGGCATGTCCTTAAGAATCTCAGGAAATGAGTATAATCAAATAAAAGGCTGACCTGCTTTCGCCCAGAAAGCTGAATTTAGAATGACAAGACCTGACTTTGACCTATGCCGACTCAACGAGCAGGGCCAACTGACCTTTAATGTTTCCCCCAAGGATCTCTCCTGAACTCTGTCCGCTAAGTTTTATTACTCAGGAGCCACTGGGGCTAATTGCATTGTGCACGCCATCAAGTGACATATTACATTATCTCTGCTCTGTGCTTTTGAATTATGCGAATTTTTATTCTACAGGGGGAGAATAGCTGGGGATTCAGTATTTTCTGCTGAATAGTGATATGAATTTAAGTTCTACACCATGGTCATTTGATTAACAGACTGAAAAACAAATTAATAGCTTACAAACGATGATAAACATAAAATGTGTATTCTTTTTTAACGAAGTAAATACTACCATTATTAAAAATGACGCATTTAACTAAGATTTTTAAACTTTAACTTTTATTTAAGCGTAATGAATTCATTTTCTAAGTTAATTTATCAATTAAATTATTTATAATAGTTTAACAAATGTATACCTATAAATTCTGCATTATTTTAAATTTTGGTACTCCACTTTAAATTGTAAGTGGTACCCGCATATCTATCATGATTCCCCCATACCGAATTGAATAGCTGAGTGGATGCCCTGCCCCGAATGCAAATATCTTCCCATAGGCCTCTTGACCCGCGTTTCATTACTACTGACAGGCACTTTCCCCTGCTGGCAGCTGCACTCGGTTTCGGCGCAAACTTATTGCCCACTTGCGGATCGAGATGAAATGTGCGGGAGATATGCGGATTTCATTTGCATTCACGATGCTCTGTGGGCTGTTTGCCGTATATTCCAATTGCTGTTTGCCGATCTGCGACAGCCCAAACCGGCACGCTTTCAATTTGGAACTGCACTCGAGTGCCCGGGTTTGCATAGTTGTGCTGATTGCACTTCTGCAAATTAGGCGTCGACGGCCGCAGTGCGTATGATTAATATGTGGGGGGAAGTGGGGGATGGGCACCTCGTTTCTGGCACTCATTTGCATTTCTGGCAATCGCCAAGAACCTAATTCACGGCTCGCAAGTGGCTCTCAAGTGCTTCCCATTACAACCCCTCCGATATCCGCCTTCGTACACCCGACTACGCCTCAATTACTTGGGCCATTTTCACCAATGCTGTCTGGCCGTTGAAAAACACAATTAAAGTCCAACCAACTCGACCATTCATAACTGCATAGAGCGGTGTGGCGGGGAATCTAGACCCGGGAATGGCGAATGGCCAACATTTCAAATGCGGTAAATTACAGTTAACGATTTTGTAGCACAGCAATTTGCTTTATCTCCAGATGTCTATCTACGGGTTTGTAAATGTATTTCCACGTAGCTGCCCCGAACACCGTGTGTTTTGCATGTCAGCCGACGGGTTCTATCCATAGTGTACTACCATGGTCTATACCAAGCCGCAGAGCCACCTTCTCTGGTCATTGGCCAGAACTAAAGCCAGACCCTTTGTGGCCAGCAGTTTGCACTGGTAAAATAGGTTTTAGTGGAGGAAATTCCGTGAAATGGGGATAAGTTGGATCAAACACAAGGAACAGGAGAATATTGGAAATACAATTTGTAAATTTAATTCCTTAATTCTACTATAATTATGATTTATTTCCTAACAAATAAATCACTTGATAAACTACTATAAGCACCAACCATAATGGTATTGGAATAACTATTAACTTTCGCAAC